ATTTGGGATAAAATAATTTTGTCAGAATCCCATTTTTTTGGCCAGGAACCCGCAGGATCCCGTCACTTTTTGCGGGATAGGCGGGAACCCGCGGCTTCCCGCATAGAAAAGTTAATCCCGCGAGATCCCGGCGAGATTCATAAAAAACGAGCGACATGGGCATTAAGTATATATAGATTGATTAAGTAACTATTAGGTTTTTTCCAAAAGTATCTCTTTTGAGAAGCTACACGATAGAAGTTCAGCCGAGTTTTCTGGTCTCCAGCCAGACCTGGCCCTTCAATATAACTAAAAAAACTGCGGTGGGAAAAAAACCGCGGTTCACAGCGGTTTTGAAAAGACAAATAAACAGCCTGACTCACACGAACTAAAAAAATCGCGATTTGATACTGCTTTTTCGCAATTTTTTTCCGTGAGTAGACCTAATTTTCGAAAAAGAATCGATTCGTTGAACTGAGAGCTATTGCATGTCTCTCTACGTTGGTTATTCAGAGAGATATTATTGTTGATTATGAAAAATTCATCGATGCTTTCTCAACTCAGCATGGGAACAGTTCAATACTGTTGAAATAGTTATTATTTGGTTATTCTCTTTTTTGTTTATTTTCGATATTGTTCTACCTAAATAACATATTCATATTGTTAATCACAATAGATATTCTAAATAATGTTTTATGCAATTGAAATTAATATAACATAGTGGATGTTCTCTAGAAAGAAATAGTCGATAAAATAACAATAAACAATAAATATCCGATTGTATCATTATTACTAATAATGTCTTCATAATGATATGATACTCTACTGAAAAACAGATTTTATCTTGTTAAGATAAGTAGTTCAAACAAAGATATATTAAATTATTTTTTCAAAAATACTACTTTTGATAATAAGATTTACGAATTTTTTTTTTGACTTTGTTAGGGGAAACATGAGCAAAAAAACAAAACACTATCTACAAAGATAAAAATGATATTTGAATTTAATCATGAGATATATGAAAGCTGACAATCAAGAATATTGAGCGATTGTAATGTTTAAATAAAATAATCAGTTATGTATTTAATTTTCTGATCATTCAGATTTATGTTGGTTCAATAATAAGAGCTAGTTTTTTTCTAAAAAACGAATTCATATATCTTTTTTTCTCGCTGACTATTTCAGTAAGACAAAATCTTTTTATGAGTATCAAAATTAAGATAAATCTATGTAAAATCTTGAACAAAATTTTCACTAGATTATAACTTTGTTGTTTATTTTAAGTAAACAAAGAAATTTTGTGAAAAACTAATCTTTTACCTATTTTTCATTTTGTTCCAGACAAAAGAAGAGAAACTTTGAGTCGACAAGAATCCATTTCGAGATATGAATTCTTATTTTCTTATCTAAATTAAAAAAAACTTTAGGTTGTGGTAAAACAACATTATGTAAAGGCTTAGCCCAAAAAGTGTCAATAAGAATGAAAGAATTATTTAATAGATTTTATTTTTATGAATTAAATGCTGGTTCATTATTTTCAAAATGGTTTTCTGAATCGTCTCATAATTTATCAAGATTTTTTGATGATATAACACGAATATGTTATGATCCATTAACATTTGTTATTATTCTTATTGATGAAATTGAATCATTATCAATATCTCGAAAATCATCATTATCATCAAATGAACCATCAGATATGTTAAGGGTTGTTAACACACTTTTAACACAAATTGATCGTTTAAAATCATTTTCAAATATTCTTATATTAACAACATCAAATTTAATTGAAATAATTGATCAAGCTTTAATTGATCGATCGGATTTAATTTTATTTATTGGACCACCTTCAATTAAAACAACATTTCATATTTATCGAGCTTGTTTTCATGAACTAATTGAAAAAAATCTTATTTATTCAAAATTTCAAGCAGAAGAATTAAAAGATAAATTATGGAATTTAGCTAAATTAAGTCATGGACTTAGTGGAAGAACTTTACGAAAATTACCGATGATTGCTTTTTCACATATTCAACAATGTGATCATTTTATTCATCCTGAACAACTATTTAAAGCCATGCATCACCAATTAATATATCAGAAAAATACAAATAATTATTTACAACAATTTGATAATCAATAACTTCTTTTTTTTACTTTATTAAATAAATATTTCTAATAAAATCTAAATTTTACTCATTTTTATTGCTGCAACACTATTAAAAAAAAATTCTATTTGACAAATTTTCATTATATAGATGAAAACTTTCATCAAATATAAAAACCAAAAAAAAACGACCTTCAAAAAAATGAATAACGAATATCGAAATTTAGGTTTGTATAAGTTGATTCATTCCTGTATCATTTTATCTTTTTTATCTAAAGTGTTTGCTTGCTTTAAAGACATTTGCCGTTTAAAAGACGTTCGTTCCTTTGAATTGTTTTCTTTCGGTAAAATTTGTTCATTGTAGATGGATAATAATATTGAGTCATAACGATTATTTATTTACTCTCATTTTTTCTTGACTAAATCAACTCTTTTCAGATGGAATTTCAAAGACAGAACGTGCATGAAAAAATATTTTAATCCGTTTTGATTACTAAAGCCCAATCTATTTGACTCATATATAGGGCGTATGCGTGAATGAGTTTCCGATGAGCAAAGGGGGAGAGAGAAGAGCAATGAGGATAAAACCTACACTTACACCTTCTTTCGAAATCGTCAACTCTACAGATAGTGTATCCATATAAACACCAACCGCAAAAATCATACGTTCAAACACGATTTTCTTGTAAAACCGTCTAGACGCAGTAAAAAAACTAATGGAAAGTGCGTCTGCAGTGAGACATTTTCTGCGTCTGAACGTGATTTCACTTCAAAGCATATTAAGTTGCCTATCTTATTGACTTTCGCATCTCGTTGCGTTTCTGTCAACTGCCACGTCTCAACTCGGTATTTAAAAAAAAATGCGTCTCCAGTGAAAGAGTTTTTTGCATTTGGACGCGATTTTAGTTCGAATCGAGTCTGAATGCAAAAAAGATTTCATTGGAATCGCACGTAAGTTGGTTCAATAGCTCTGATTGATATAGAAACGAAACTGGATTTAGAAACCTGTTGATACAAAATTTATTTACAATATTGGCCTATATCCATCAGAAAATATGTATCAACATTTGTTAGAAAACTGATCTAGTTTGAAAAATGTCAAGCCCAAAGCAATTTTTAAGTTTTTTTTTCTTACGAAAGATAGAATAAGAACATAAATTTTGAAAGGTCAGCACTCTAACATTGAAAATGATGAAATTTTAGAAAAAATAAAATGTGGAAACCTCGGATTTAAATCCGGGTGTTATGTGTACTTCAAAAAGTAAAACTAATTGACGACAGATTGATATTGATCAAATTGCCTAAAATCATCCTTGAACGCACTAATGAACTGCCTCTTAGGCCTTGTCGTTGCTCTCTTTTTGGCCCGTAGGACGCAAGGAGGAGTTAATTCCGGAGCTTTTATTTGCATAAATGAAAACTTGTTTATTTTAATTAATTATTTTGATGAGTTAATGAAACTTTCCTTCATTTTCAAGTTTGATAAAACCTAAAAGTATCGCTTCTCTGGTCGGAAAACGGGACTTTCATTTTCGACCAATCAGAGCGTGGACAAACACAAAAGCAATTTCCGTTTAAGTATTTGCCCATGTCGAGACGAACGAGGTGAAAACGCGTTCGGAACACGCGGACGAAAATTAGAACGCGTTCCGAACGGCAAGCAACGTTCCGAACTAGTAGTTCAGAACGTGTTCGCCTGCTTGTATAAAGCTGTTTTCACCGTTTGGAACGCGTTCTAGCTTTCGTTCGCGTGTTTCGAACGCTTTTTCCCCCCGTTCATCTCGATCTGGATGGTACTAGTTAACTTTATACATGGTGCCCTCACCCTCACGCAGTGCTGCATGTGAATGGTATATCGCTCCTACCTTTAAAGTAAAAGCTAAGGCCAAGTATCTTTGAAATAGATGACTCATTCTTCTTGTTTCTTAATGTTTTATATACCATTTTGTAGCGCATTACATTCTCTATCGAATGGTATATAATAGTTGAGGCTTTTTTTGTAATTATGAGAGAAAAGTTTTTACGAAAACCGGGATAGGTCAATGTTCGCATAGAAAAGCGCACGAAATAATGACATTTTTTGCGATAAATCAGCAATTTATTGGCGAATCATTCGCATCTTCGAAGTCGATCGAGATATCAATGAGACAATTCTTTGCACAAAGTTTCATGACAATCAGTTCATATTCTCAAGAGTTATAATGTAAACGGCCGAACACACTGACCTATTCTATAGTGTACTCACTTTTTGAGTACACAATAAATGAATTCTTTTTCCAAAAGAGAATAGTTTGCATAATCAGAAATTTTTAAAATCATGTTATTCAATGTATTTTAATGCAAAATGTTTCTGGAGATGTATATATATATATATTTATATAAACCCCAATAATTAAAATACTTAGGGCATACCAAAAGTACGGACAGTGACACTTTAATACCGCATAGTAGGCTTAAATAACTTTCTTTCTATATAGTCTGATAGAGAAAAAAAAGCTCTATTTTTCTGTGCTATTTGATTGTACTTCAACTAATATCATAATATTAAATTATCTATAAAGCCTATTTCGGCTGGTTATGTTCTGGTTGTACAGGGTTGACGAAAATGTTTTTCCATGATGGAGAAGT